TGTATGTGTGTGTGTCTGCGCATGTATGTTCGCGGCTGTGTGTGGGGTGGGACCGTATGCGTCCGTCCGTGCGTCTGTGTGTGTGCGCGCGTGTGTGCAGGTGTGTGTTGGCTAAGCTATTCCGTGTAAGACTTGATGGCGATTTCTATGGGGGCGCACTGACGCGTTCATTCCGGATTGCATTTGCTCATAGGACATCGGTCACGCCGTGTTAGCCACCTATGTCCCACATTCCCCTCCCCCCGAACTGCTGCCGCGCCGTTTTGCGGTTACCTCATGCGTACCACGAGTGTATACTACGGGAGCTAGCGTGCAGCGAAGTAAAAAAATTCCCACCGGACTTACAGCGTCGCTCTTCTCTGTTGACCGATGATATTTTGCTTGCCGTGTGTATGCGTAATAGCAGCAGCGGCGGCGGCTGCGGCAGCAGCAGCGGCAGCAGCAACGGCGGCGGCAGCAGCAGCAGCAGTAGTAGCAGCAGCAGTACCACCACCAGCAGTAGCAGCACCAGCAGTATCAGTAGCAGGGGTAGTGGAATAGTAGAAGTAGTGGCAGCATCCGCAGCAGCAGCAACAACATGCAGCAGCTGTAGCAGCAGCTGTAGCACCAGCAAGAGCAGAAATAGCAACAACAGCAGCTGTACGCAGCAGCAGCAAGAACAGCAGTAGCAAAAACAACAGCAACCGTAACCACAACAATAACAACAATAACAATAGCAGTAACATCAACAATAACAATAGCAGTAACATCACCATTATCACCATCAGCAGCAGCAGCAGCAACAGCGGCAACAGTATGCGCCGGTTTCCTCGGTCAAAGGGCCGATCGCCTAGGTTACGTCTGCGTGCGCCTTGCTCTACGCGTCAATGCAACTTCGTGTGCGCACGCGTGCGGGAGCGCATGTGATGCTTTCCGGTCGCCTTCTCGTGAGCGCAAGAAAGTTGCAGGAGCTTTTACTCGAAGAAGAGAGTATCACGGTTCGTCAGAGCATGATTGAGAAAGAGAGAGAGAGAGAGAGAGAGAGAGAGAGAGAGAGAGAGAGAGAGAGAGAGAAAGAGAGAGACAGAGAGACAGAGAGACAGAGAGACAGAGAGACAGAGAGATGCTTGATGATTCTGTAAGATGCCATCTTCAGCTGTAGAATACAAGAAGACTTGTCAATGCACGGGGATGCTATACGCCAGCATTGAAGAGTTGGAATTTGTGCCGCGAGGCGAGGATATACTTTGAGGAACACGAAATTTCGCACATAAGATAAGATGGAGTGGATGAGTCCACGAAATTGTAAGGTAAGCTTACGCGTCCTCGTAGCTTTTCAAGATACTGACCATTGACCTAATTGATCGACGCGGAGAGATTTTTCTTGCGCATAAATCAATACGAATCACTGTTAAATTTGAAATTAACGAATTAATTAACGAATACAGACGAATCCCAACAAAGGTGTAATAACATTCTATAAGTTGTTTTGTGTGATTGGCGCCGTGATGATATTTTTTTACACACACCTCTCCAAGCGTGCTCACCTAAAACACTCCTGTATTTAAAACGACGTCGAGAAAAGGAAAACACAGAATAGTTACTAATTAAACGTGTTAATCTCTTAAAAATGTGACTGAATACTGACCTACTACACCAAGCAGCAAATTCCACGAACACAACTGTAAAAGTTTACACTACAAAATAAACACAACTGTATAGATACGTTTGTGCTAATACTGACTGCATGACATCTATAATAGTTGACACTATACGACAGCACAAAGGTTCTCGTTATATTTCTCAACATTCTTCTCCATTTGTGTTTACAATTTTATAACCATCCAAACGAGATATAATCCTCATAATATATACCAGCGATTTTCATACATAAAGAAAATAGTTACGGCTACGCGTAAAACGTATAGGCATGACCCGTTGCGCCGTGCTTGCACGCACAGGTACAGATGTGGGTATTCACGGGGGTCAAGGCAAAAAAAAGATTTCTGGGCTGCCTCTTTTCACGAATCTGGCACAGATTAACGATAAGCGGTGCTCTCAAGACTTCTACTGACGCAGCCTATCGAACCTATATGCAAAGGCGCACGCATCATCGAGTGGCACAGCAGGGGTCGTATTCGGAATGTAGCCTCGTTTTAACGGCTCTTGCACGACAGTTATTTTCTTTAGTTAGTTGCTTTAAGTTGCCACGATCTCGTGCGCGAACTTCCAAGATCTTAGATAAAAGTTGCAGGTATGATTTCACGCACGTAACTCGGGCACTCGTGCGAGTAGCACCAAGTTCCACAAAGAACAATAAACCCATAGAAACCATATTCAAAAGCAATGATAAAAACATGAACTCCAAGTTGAAAATAAATGAAAAAGCATGAATCATGTTCAAAAGAAAAGAAAAACCGAAACCATGTTTAAAAAAAAAGAAACATAATGAACCATGGTCAAAAATTTAGAAGAAAAAACAGGAAACCACGTTCAAAAAGGCAGAAAAAAACATGAATCATGCTCAAAAGACTATGAGAAGCGCCTGATCCTGTTTACCCGAGTGGTAGCTTTATCTGTGTAGCCCCTCGGTGCTTCGCTACGCACGTAGAGCTGCTTAAGGGGGAGTTTCAGTTGTGTGTGTTTGTGATGAGTGCTTTTGGCATTAACAAAAAACGAGAATCGTAAGCGCCGGCACGCTAAACGCCAGCAAATAGTATGCGTATATATCCCGGTTTCAATGTCAATGTGAGAGTCCCTTATAATAGAGAGATGCACCTTAAATTGATCCCTATATTTACTAACGTTTAAGATATAGAAATTAGTGATTCCGTCGCGCAGGCATTCTCGCCGTACGCGCTGCTCCAAATATAACGAATGTCACATGATTGCTATATTTTTCGATTCGTATTGTTCGAGCGTCCGGAAATTCGGGTCAAGTCCGCGCGTTTACCGGAAGTCCGGTCGATCGCACACATTGATACACGCTTGCGATCTATATTATTCGTCATCGACGGTCGAAATCGAACGATTTTCGACGTGTGTGGTCATGCACGTGACACGTGTGGTCGGTGTGCTATCACCCTGCGCATACAGCGAGGAATGTGGCCGGAAGCAAAACATTTCAACAGTAGTTTGTGCATACTGCTTAAAGATAATGGCACGTGTTTGTGAGGTCAGGTAGAAAATGAACGCTGATTAGTAGTTGAACGCTAGGCAGTATGCGCGCGAGGCGAAACACTCGGTTCTACATTACTACTTACGTATGCCGGTCGTGATATATAGGGCAATGAGATGAGATAGCGCAACAGCACTTTCCCATGCCTGAACTATCGCCTACAGATGCTGCATTCATTTTCACAACTTGTCCCGCATGATGTGGGGCGAGTAGCATACACTACAACCACTTTCATATTTATCTACTACAAACAGCGTAATTTATCTGGCCTATATCTCGCTATAGCATGCTCGTACTAACCGGGTGTATGGGGTTATGTTTTCCGTAACTAAGTGGTCTTTGTAGCCGCTGAATCTAACAAAGAGCATTTTCACGTGAAGCGACGTAGAAATGTAAATCAAGACCATTCAAGCGAATCTTGCCGTAGTAAATACGATTGGTTATTTTCACAAGTTTAGGCCCAACAGCGTATACGCCACACATCCCATGACGTCATACTCTCGTCACAACTGCGGGCGCAGACCTGGGGCATGTGAGGGCACGCATGCGTCAAGGTGGTTCTAGTTTTACACACGCACAACGTTCAACTCTTTCAACTTTCTGACTCTAAATAAATAATTATTATGAATCGCAGACGCTAATCCACTGACAAAGGTAACTTAATTGTTTTCAGCAAAATACATCATTACAAGTTTAAGCGTCTAAAATGGGTCAGTTTCGCGCGTGCAATCCAAAGTATTATACTAGTTTGTCGAATACGCCCATGACAATAATGTTAAAAATAGGTTGTTTTGTAAAAAACATGAAGCGCAATACTCACTAAAATCCCTAACTTACTGTATTTTGCCTTTCGTTATCTATCGTTCGTTCGTTCGTTTGTTCATTTGTTCGTTCGTTCGTTTGTTTATTCATTCGTTCGTTTGTTCATTTGTTCGTTCGTTCGTTTGTTTATCTGTTCGTTCTTTCATTTGTTTGTTCGTTTATTTGTTCGTTCGTTTGTTCGTTTGTTCGTATATTTATTCGTTGGTTGGTTGGTTCGTTGGTTCGTTGGTTCGTACGTTCGTTCGTTCGTACGCATGTGTTGTTATTCGTACTCTTACGTTTTTCTTGTTTTCTGTTTAGAGGAAGGACGATTACCGCGCATCGTTTCCGCATCTAATCCTCCGCCTGTTAATCGTGGTCGCACTGACCGCCGTCCTCATCATCGTATCTTACGAGAGCGAATCGTCTGTCAAGATTCAAAATCTCGCTCCACGGCCCACGTGTTCTGCGTGCTCGCAACTTCCCGAGCACCGCGTCCCGCAACTAAAGGTAACGACGCATGCGCCAGAACTCCTCGAAAATGCTACAGACATTATCGGAACCGCAGCGATGCATTCCCGCGCGGAGCTCGCGTATCCCGGGAACTTCCTGAGATACGATGCCGACTACAGTGGCGCCGCGCGACGGACGATCGAACTGCCGCAGGATTACGAAACGCAAGATGGCGGCCGATCATCGCTGTTGTCGATGGCGCTCGTGCGCGGGCCCCTGCCCGCGGAAAACATGCACGTGACCGACGGCGGTCCGCTACTGCTAAACAACGCCTACGACGCTACGCCGCGAGATGGCGCTGCGACGGGTCCCGCCGACGAGTGGGGGTTCTTCGTGAAGCAGGGCGGCTACTTCGTGACGTCATCGTGCGGGAACGTGCTCGCCGACATGGTCCACGGAGCGTGGCGACCGAAGGGAGAGAACGCCACGGCGGCCGACGTCGCCGCCGCCGCGCAACACCGACGCGAGTACCGACGCTACCAGAACGTCGACGCGATACAGAGATCCGACGGCCGCTGTGGGCGCGGACTCACGACCGACGTCAACCCCGATCTCATGGCGCTGTGCGAACCCGATGGACCGACCCCGTGCTGCCACGAGGGCCGCTGCAGGAACATGGCGGCTGCCGAATGCCGATGCGAGAGCGGCAATTGTTTCGATCTCAGACGCGAGATATTGGCCGAGCTCGCGTACTGGCAGCCGCGGGAGAGCACGTGTAAGATGCAGAGATTCTCACCGCGCAAAGCCTGCACGCTGCTGCGCGTCAACGGCGTTCGTTTGGTCGTCATGGGAGACTCGATGCTGAGGAAGATGTATCAGGCTCTGATGATCATCCTGCGAGACAACGCGCTGACGGGATCACTCGCCGTCAACACACCACCAGGTATATATCAGTGTCACGGTCCACGCGCTTCTCCTTCTCTCTCTCTCTCTCTCTCTCTCTCTCTCTCTCTCTCTTTCTCTTTATCTCTCTCTTTTCTGCCTCGCTCTCGTTCTACTTTCTCCCCCCCCTTTCTTTCTCTCTCTCTCTCTCTCTTTCTTTCTTTCTTTTTTCTCTTTCTCTCTCTCGCTCTCTCTCTCGCGTGCGCGCGCTCTCTCTCTCCTCTCTCTCTCTCTCCCTCTCCCTCTCCCTCTCTTTCGCGCGCTCTTTCTTTCTGTCTATCCATCTCTTTATCTCTCTCTCGCTCTCTCTATCTATCTCTATCGCTCTCTCTCTCTCTCTCTCTCTCTCTCTCTCTCTCTCTCTCTCTCTCTCTCTCTCTCTGTCTCTTTCGCGCTTTCTTTTTTTCTATCGCTGCTATTGACTATGTTATGTATCTACATTTCATAGGAATGGGCAACTGCTTCCCTTACTCCCGCCGCTAGCTACTGCCCTGAATGGATATTTTCAGAGACTACCACGAAATACAATATCCTCTGATGGACATCGTGTCGATACGACGTCATCATACATAGCAAGAGCAGTAGCCGGATTCATATTAGCACGGAAAGCCATCGCTAAAACCTCATAATTAATTTTATTTTCAGAAATCACCACAGAGTGCCAAGGTCAGGCGCAGTTCACTCGAACCATTTGTGGCAAAATGCATCTCGCCTCTTCCAGCCGCCATCTTCCTTCGACAGACTTTTGCCAGAATATCAAGATGGCCGCCAGCGACAGACACTTCGGCGTCGAATTCGTCAGCGCGCAGAACACGTCGACCGCCGACGTCGCTCTCGCAACGGCTCGTTCCTTGCTCCGCCGCAAGGGGTCGCTGCTCGTACTCGGCATCGGCTTTCACGACCACTGCAACGCGGCGCGCGTCATCGAACAATACCTGACGCCGGTCGTCGCCGAGGTGCGAACGCACGGGCAGGGTTGGCCAAAACTGCTGTGGGTGTCCGTCGATCACCCGGGTCTGCTGAAACCGCTGCCCTACCGTCGACTGCAGGGCATCGAGCGCTGCGGTCCTTTCTCGCAGAAGATCGCGCGCTATCTCGCGAGATTCGAGGTGCCGGTGCTGAACACGGTCGAGTTGACGAGTGACGTCAGTAGTTACGACGGCACGCACTACGCACACGGCGTGAATGACGTCAAGGTGCAGATTCTGCTCAATTACGTGCTGGAGCTGTTCTTAAAGATGCGCAGACGAACGCAGGCCGCGCGCGTTACTCACTAACACGCAGCTACACGCACACACACACACACACACACACACACACACACACACACACACACACACACACACACACACACACACACACATGCACGCGCACATACACACACGTGCGCGCAGACGTAGGAATATATGTATATATGTAGGCGGATGTATGTAAATATTGCAAGGCAGAAAAAACACACTAACTGTATTATAAGTGACTGGAATAAGTTATTTTCTTTGATTATTTATTATTTTTTTCTGTTTCTGTTGTTTATTATTATTTCTGTTGAGGTGTTTAATATAATTTTAACATATTAATCAGCCAATAGATAGCGATATGCTTCCTACATGACATGTGCAGCTGGCTAGCCTATACTATATAAATTAATTCATATTTTATTTTAATAATACTTTTTAATTAAATTACATATAATTGAAATATCATAATGTTAATTAGTAATAATATTATAATTTACTTAGTTTCATAACCACGCGAAGGGAAATCTAGGCAAATTTCTATGTCGTCCGAAATTACATGATATTTTGTTGTTTCTTTGTTGAAATTATACATTAAAAAAATTAAGAGTAAATATTCGTTTCAGCAAATTAACATAAAAAGTAAGTACAGATGCTTTTATTCAATAACGATAGGGAGCCATACCTGACATAATACCAATAAAATTTAAGGCAGCCAATAGGTGGCGATATCTATCTAACCTAACATATCCACCTGCGCGCGCGCATGTCTGCCATTTATCGAATAAGAGAAATAGTATTTTGTCGTAAATGCGTTTGATTTAGAGAAGACATATACAATTAAAAAACATAGAATTCATATAAAGTGTGTAGTTGAACCAAATTTACTTGTGTCTCTTCGCACACGCCTCGTATCTACAAAATGAAATAATATTTCGTAGAATTTATATATTTAAAATGTATAGTAACTGTAAATTCGTCGCAGTAGTTTGATGTAAAAAATAAGTCCAGATGCGTCTCTACAATAATGATAAGGCGCCTTAGCTGACGTATCACTAATAAAACTATAGTCAGCCAATAGGTGGCGATAGGTGTCCTACAGGACATATATTATATGCAGCTATTTTTCTAGAATCTATCAAATAAGGAACATTTTGCTGCAATGATACTTTTAATTTAGAAGGTACGTGTGTGTACACAACAAGTCACTTTAATATTCATAAGGGGCCTAGTTGAACCAAATTTGCATGAATTATTGTGGTTGATAGGGAGCCCTAGCTACAATAACACTAATAAAATTCAAGGCAGCCAATAGGTGGCGATATGTGTCCTACATAACACACATCCACATGAGCAGAGCACGTATATGATATACATACACATGCATGTCTGTCATTTCTCGAATAAGATAAATAGTATTTTGTTGTAATAATGCTTTTGATTTAGAGAAGATATGCCCACCAGTTACTTATATATTCATAAATGGTCTAGTTGAGCCCAATTTATCTGAATCATCGTGCTAGATGTGTGTTCACGCATGCCTTGTATCATCGAAATGAAATATTATTTTATTGAATTTATACATTTAAAATGGGGAGCAAACTATCCGTCGCAGTAGCTTCACATGAAACATAATTCCAATTTCCTATCTTCAATAATGCAAGGGTGCCTTAGCTGATCAAATACGAACAATATTTATGACAGCCGCTAGATGGCGACAGGTTTCCTACCTTATATAATATATAGGCATGGCGTTGTCTTCCAAGTAATTAAGATATTGAGATCGGGAATTACGATGCAGACGTACTTTCTCTTAATTTACTTTCTCTTATACGGCTTTTCCTTTTAAGCACATGAGATCATCCAAGTAGCATTGTCATTGGCAGATAACTTGCCGAGATGCCACAAAGCCATATACTTTAGAATCGAGTGCTGTTGGCTCCCAAGTGTGATTTTGATTTTGGTACTGTGCTTTTCGGTGGTGATTTATTATAGAAACTCACTACTGTGTAGGTCCTCTCTCGTTTGAGAACAAACATGAAATCGACAGAATACTATCACTGCCGTGGGATAACATGCCGACATGACTGGACCTTTGGGCCTTATAGTATAGCATACGAGCAATGAATAGTCAGGGATTTATTCCTGGAGTGCGTTACATGACAGGAGGAAGTTGAATGAAGGAGCCGAGGAGATAGACGGATAGGATGAGAAGTTGGAAGCGGGGAAAAGAATGCGTTGAAAATGTTGAGGGATAGAAACTCAATAAGATTGGATGTGGAAAGAGACACACTCACACACACACACACACACACACACACACACACAGCACGACACAGGCACCCACAGGGCGGTAGCCCGCACAAACACGACACACAGCACATCACGACCACCAGCCCGCACACACACCACACCCACAGCACACGCGACTGCGACAGACACCACAGGCGACACGGCCCGCGGCGACACACGAGCCGGGCCCGCGCAGCACGACACACACACACCACACACACACACACACACACAGGTCCCCACAACACACACCGACGAGAGAGAGAGGAGAGCAGAGGAGAAGAGAGAGACGATGGAGAGAGAGAGCCGGGCCGTTGTGTCTGCGAGACGAGAGAGAGAGAGAGACGAGACACAAGAGAGAACAAGGAGAGATGAGAGAGAGCAGACAAACGAGACGAGAGAGAGAGAGAAGAGAGAGAGGCGACGAGAAGGAGACGAGAGGAGAGAAAGAGAGAAGAGAGAGAAGAGAGAGAGAGAGAGAGAGGAAAAAGAGAAAGCAGATAGAGAGAGAGAGAGAGAGAGAGCAGAGAAAGAGAGAGAGGAGAGAGAGAGAGAGAGCAGATGGAGTAGAGATGAGAGTAAGGGAGACGTGAGAGACGTGCGAGAGAGACACTGGAGCACACAGAGAGCGCGGGGAGTGGGTAAGAATGAAGTACGTTAAATAGCCCCACGCGTCATTGTCTTCAGGACAATTTTCTAAACACTTCTGCTCAATCTTTCATGAGAACAGAGAGGGAGGGAGGAGGAAGAGAATGAAGAAGAGGAGGTTCAAACCGAGTTAAAAAAACTAATGTCACTGAAAACAAAATAACAGCCCGTATTGATCAGAAGTTCCTGTTTCTTGCGCTGTAGTTCACATGCACACGCCGCAACCTTGGCGTAACCTGTGCAAACGGTCACGTGACGACCTCCCACGACGCAAGAGACGTTGAACTCGTGCGCGATCTTTCTTCATTAAGTCTACTATATACACCATCGGTCTCTTCTCGAACGCTAGCGTCTGGTGCACCTTCTGTATCAGGGTCGCGCCTTGCCACCGTCTCGTGCGCGTTCACTCCTCGCTCTCTTGCATCGGGTGCCGTCGCTATGCGTGGCGAGTCATTCCACTGAGAATTTCTCTATAGAAAACTATAACCAGCAGTTAGAAACACAACTAACGCGTATACCTGACAATGAGAAACAGAACTAACGCGCATTGCTAGCTATACAAAACAGAACTAACGCGTATGGCTGGCAATACGAAACAGAACTAACACGTATAGCTGGCAATGAGAAACAGAACTAACGCGTATGGCTGGCAATACGAAACAGAACTAACACGTATAGCTGGCAATGAGAAACAGAACTAACGCGTATGGCTGGCAATACGAAACAGAACTAACACGTATACCTGACAATGAGAAACAGAACTAACGCGCATTGCTAGCTATACAAAACAGAACTAACGCGTATGGCTGGCAATACGAAACAGAACTAACACGTATAGCTGGTATGGCAATGAGAAACAGAACTAACACGTATACCTGACAATCTTAATGAGAAACAAGCTAACTGCGCATTGCTAGCTTATACAAGAACACGAGCCTACGGCGTATTGGCTGGGCAATGAGAAACAGAACTAACGCGTATGGCCTTGCATGAGAAATCGAACTAACGCGTATGGCTGGCAATACGCAACAGACTACCACCGTATACCTGACAGATGAGAAACCAGAACTGAACGCGCATTGTGCCTAGCGTATACAAAACAGACTAACGCGTAATGGCTGGCAATACAAACCAGAACTAACAGTCATACTGACAATGAGAAACAGAACTAACGCGCATTGCGTAGCTATACAATAACAGACAGACGCGTATGGCTGGCAATGAGAACCAATACTGGAACGTAACATCGTATGGTGGCCATGAGAAACAGACACTATACGCGTATGTCTTGGCATACGAAACAGAACTAACACGTATCGCTGGCAATGAAAACAGAACTACCGCGTATGGCTGGCAATAAAAAACCACAACTAACGGCGAATGCTTCCGGAGATGAGGAAACAGAACTAGACGCGTATAGCTGGCAATGAGAAACCGAACTACCGGCGTATGGCTTGGCCAATGACGGAAACAGAACTAACTACGTATAGCTTGGCATGAGTAAACAGAACTAACGCCGTATGGCTGGCAATAAGAAACTACAACTAACGCGAATTCGCGGCAGATGAGAAAACAGCACGACTAACAGCGATTAGCTGGCAATGATAAAGGCAGAACTGAACTTGCGTTATGGGCTGCAATAACGAACGAACTAACACGTATAGCTGCAATGAGAAACAGAACTAACGCTATGCTTGGCACTAAAAACCACAACTAACGCAAATTCCGGCAATGAGAACCAGAACTAACGCGTCTACTGGCACGAGAAACAAGACCTCACGCGTATATGGCTGGCAAGCAGAAACAGGAATTAAACTGCGTATGGCTGGCAATGAAAAAACACCACTACGCGTATACAGGCCAATACGAAATCAGAACTAGACGCGTATCTGGCATGAGAAACAGAACTAGACGCGCAAGCTGGCCATGTGAAACAGACGAACGGCCATGGATGTTAGGCAATGAGAACCCGAACTACGCGTTATATGAGGCGAAACGAAACAGAAGCTACGCGTATAGACTGGCATGAGAAACAAGCATCTAACGCGTATAGTTGGCCAATACGGAAACAGAACTTACGCGGTATATCAGGCATGGAACAGAAACTAACGGCGTATGGCCTGCAATAGAGAAACCGAACTAACGCGGTGTACGCAATGAGTTGATCGG